GAAGTGGAAAAATCCAACCATTTGCAGCAACATGGATGGAGCTGGAGAGTATTATGCTCAGTGAAATAAGCCAAGCGGAGAAAGAGAAATACCAAATGATTTCACTCATCTGAGGAGTATAGGAACAAAGGAAAAACTGAAGGAACAAAACAGCAGCAGAATTACAGAACCCAAAAATGGACTAACAGGTACCAAAGGGAAAGGAACTGGGGAGGATGGGTGGGCAGGGAGGGATAAGGGGGGGGAAGAAGAAGGGGGGTATTAAGATTAGCATGCATGGGGGGGAGGGAGAAAGGGGAGGGTGGGCTGCACAACACAGAGAGGACAAGTAGTGACTCTACAACATTTTGCTAAGCTGATGGACAGTAACCGTAATGTGGTTGTTAGGGGGGACCTGATATAGGGGAGAGCATAGTAAACATAGTATTCTTCAGGTAAGTGTAGATTAAAAATTTAAAAAAAAAAAAAGAAAAAAAGAAAGAAAAGGGGGATTACTCCTTAACAGGATAAAACTATTGGTAAATCAAAGATCAACGCATGCTTTAAATATCCTTAATGTTGATCACTTAAAGGGTGTCAGATGATCAGCTATGGAGGTACTCTTTTCTGATAATATTCCTTTCTCTTAATTAAAAAAAAAAAAAAAAAAAGTTACTGTGTGCTGACCTCCAATGAGTTCTGCACAGTGGTATAGAGGGCATGTCAAAGTGTGGGCAAAGGGTCTGTTTGTTTCTACGCAGAAGATCAAGGCCTAGCTTGGATACCCAGAAAATGAACTAAGATACGATATGAGGAGGAGCTTCCGGCATCAGCACTCTCTGGAGGACTCGTGCCGGGGGATGATCATCAAAAAGCCTCCACAGGGATCCGGACGATGCTGCGGTTGTGGCTGCATCCAGCCCACCATCTCCTGGACTTGCCATAAGAAGGAGGAGGGAGATGTCTAGGCTGGCATGTGCATACAGTGAGACAACGAATTTGACTGGATCTGTACTGTTGGAACTCAACCAGGAGTTGGGAGGGGTGCAAGTTGTAGCACCCCAAAATCTCATGACTATAGACTATCTATGGTTAAAAGAACATATGGGATGTGAACAGATCCCAGAAATGGGCTGCTTTAATTTGTCTGATGGTTCAAGTACAGTTGGAAAATATCCATCATATCATAGATAAATTTTCACAAATGCCTAGGGTGCCTAAATGGTTTTCTTGGCTTCACTGGAGATGGCTGGTAATTATAGATTTGCTTTGTTTATGTCACCGTATTCCTATTATGTTAATATGTGTGTGCAAATTAGTTAGTAGTTTAAAACCTATACATACTTAAGGTACTATACAAGAAGATATGTCAAAGAAATAATCAATCCTCCCAAGTTTCCTTCATATGCTACATCTATAGCTTTTCTTCTTCCTTCCTAATTACAAACCTTAAATAGAATTCGTGCCTCATATCGAATTTACCGAGTATCATAATTCCTCCAGGTGGTAAAGATACCTCGAGACAAGTGCTGGGCATAGAAGCCACAGGGCATAAATCTGCAAAGAAGTAAAAAGCTAACCTTTGCAAACAATATGGCTTCTCTCTCACTTACCAACTTTACATTTCCCTGTATGGCCCCGGAAGATGACTGGTTAGCCAGAGACGGGTAAGATTCCTCAAGGGAGGAACAACCTAAGACAGGCACAGTCGCAGGGGGGCCATCAGGTGAGAATTTGGGGATCAACAGAGGTGAGGCTCAGAACCTCACCCCCCCTGCTTTGAGAGAAATCTTCTGCATCCGTGGATGTCTTGCTGCCCTTGTCTAGCCTGGATTAATACTTAGTCCATAGGCACACACCTGATCATCTGATCATCTACATTTGCCTTCTTACAGCACTAAACTATGTTTTCTACCTTTATCTTGCATCTACCTACCACTTCAGCATTTTATTAAAAATAAAAATAATAATAATAATAGGAGAAATGTGGGATCAACATATAAATCAAGTACAAAAATCAAACGAATATTCATATTTGACCTGATTGTTTATAGGTCATAATGCGTGATCAAAACCGAAAGTTTCTGTGATGAATGCCCTTGTACTGTTCACCATGTAAGAATTTATTCACTATGTAAGAATTCGTTCACCATGTAAGAACTTATTCGTTATGCTTCAGAAGATTGGAGACTGATGAGAATTAGACTTCAGATGGATTAATGATTGTACAGTGAGCATTGACCCCCCTATACTGAATTTTATTGTTGTTAACAACCATTTGATCAATAAATATGAGAGATGCCCTCTCAAAAAAAAAATATTTTCTCATTAATCCTGTCCACCAACAGTTTACTGAGCTCTGACTCTGTGCTAAGCAGGGCTTTGGCGCTGGGGTTGCCGTGCTGAACTAAAACCATGAGCGCGTGTTCTGAGGGAGTCCTTTTGCTATAGTCTTGTGCATATTTCCTGAGTACTTCCATAATTTCACTTTTTGCATTTAAATCTTTTTTCCACTAGGAATTTAATTTGGTATAAACTGGAAGGGATCTGCTTTTAATTTTTTTCAAACTGGGGATCCAGTTGTCCCAACATCATTGATTAAATAATTTCTTTTCTCTACTGGTTTGAGATGTCAGTTTTATCATATACAAATTTCCACAGTTAATTTTTAGCTTTTTAAGCAAAAAAGAAGACCTCAAAGAAATGTCCTGTTCAAGCTTCAGCAGCTGACCCAGCAGGCTGTTGTATAATCTCTTCTGTTTTGGGGACATTTGGTGGAAAGTCTTGACATCTTGACAATAATAACCTCCAGGATGGATAGTGCATTTCCATTTCCCAAGCAAGGAAATAAAACCTGGAGAAGTTAAGAAAGGGCCCTGATAGGCTAGACTCCTATTATTTTATCTGCTCAGCACTTTCCTTCTGGGAATTGTCCACCCTGTACACCCCATCCATCTGCTCCGGGGAATGAATGACTGTTAGCCAAGCTGACTGGTACAGGGCCTGCATACAAGCTTGGCTAATCAGTCTTTCCTTGTAAATTTGAAGTTTTAAGCTAGAAGGACCAGGCTCTGTAAGTTATAAAAGTGGGAATCTGTTAGGGGCCCCATTTCCTGTCCCATGGACTAGAGAAGTAGAGGAACCTAATCCGCAGAGGGAGATGATGGGGCCTGAATCAGGCGCTGAGGAAGGATAGGGGGCCAGTCCTCAAGGGTTCAAGTTCACAGTTCTCTGTGTGCCCGGGTTTCAGCTGTATTCCTGTTTCTGTGTTCCTTGAGACCTTCCTATATCTTTAGAATAAATTCTCTTAAGCTCCTTTGACTTGGGTTTCTGTCACCTCCAATCAAAGGGACCCTAGAAAATGGCTGAAATAGGCCTAATCCTGGAATGGTTTGTTTCCAAAGCCTTTTCTAGGGTATATCCCAAAAGGGGACCAGAATTCTGTCTCAAAGGGCACAACAGAGTGTGTGATTATGGCTCTAGAGGCCAGAGTCCTCAGCCATCCACTGTGGGAACCCACCTGTAACTAAATTGGGGATTGTGCCACTATAGCTGCAAAGCCTGAAAAGGATGAATCAAAGTGTGATTTAGAAAAGTAAGATCTTAGCCTTTCCATTGGGCCCCTGCGTGAAGGTGAGAACAGGAGCTCTTGCTGACATTTAGCCAGCATTTCACCCCTCATCTGTTCCCCACCCCCTAGGGTACTTTCAAGTTTCAGGAACTGCAGCTGGAAATCTGGAAGCTGACTTCTCAGTGTCTCTCACACTTGACCCTTTTCCATTCTCGTTGCCAATTCCAAGTTTTACTGCCTTGGGCTTGAATTGTTGTAATAGAGTCCTAAGGTTATTGCCCTTGGGCCTCTGCAGGGCCTGAAATGCCCTCTCACAAGTACACTAGAGTCCAAGTTCAAGTGTCACCTCCTCTGTGAGGCCTCTCTGACCCCTAGGATTTGGCTGTCCGCTGCTGACACAGACCTCCACCCTAAGATATTACGGGAGGCAGGATCCAGGGAGCAGCTGTGTGGCCAGAGGCACGTCAACAAGCTTAACTTTTTTAAGCCTCTGTCTCTTTATCTGTCAAATAGGATAAATAGCAGGGCTGTGGTGAGAATTCAAGCTAGTTCTAGAAATGGCCATTTCAGGGCTTGCATGTAAAAGGGAACACACCCCATTCCCTCAGCTCTCTTGCCCCAATTTTCTGAGCAGGCTGTTAACTCTTTGAAGCCTGGGACTTTGCCTTACTCTGAGTGCCTAGCAGAGAGCATGGCATACAGCAAAGCTCAGTGTATGCTGGATGAATAAATGCATAAACAGAAAAATGAATAAAAACCTCTCTCTGCTCCTTTAGCCTCTGTTACACCCCGTATGCACATTTGCCAAATTAGGGCTCCCTTCGTTGGCTTTCTACACACCTTGTTTCTTGATTAAAAAAACATCCGAGGTTCTGTAATACCTACAGGTTCACATTCCTTACTTCAGATTCAGGGGGTCTCAAGATCTGACCCTATACACTGTTTTGCAGCTTTATCTCCCATGATTCGGTACAACGCTTCTGAGGTAGCTGTTCTGTTAGGTCTGTTCATTGCCAGCCACTTCCCAAAAGTATTCCCTTTCTTATCCCTGACTGCGCCTTGATTCATCCTTGCTGATTCACCCCCACCAAAAGGCATTTCCTCTTCCTCTCTGCCTAACCATGTCCTTCCCATCTGTGGCAGAGAAAGCTATCAGTCTCCTAATATCCCTAAAGGAACTGAAAAAAGTCCCCGATAATTTCACCATTTACATGTTTGGGCTTATTTTCTTTCAAGACTTATTTCCACATATTTAAAAAATATTTTTAAAATTGCTCATCAGAAGGCAGTTTTAAAAGGAGCACGTGGTTATTTCTACTTAGATAAGCAAAAAGAAGCAAATAAAAATCACTGTTACCATAGAAGCCTGTGATTTAACCTTCTGGTCACATGTAGCCTTTAGACATATTAGTATTTAAAACAATTCCATCCATTGTTTACCAAGTTGACATATTGTGACCTATCAAGTTTCTATTCTGTTTTATTTGGTAAGCATTGTTTCAAAAAACATTTTTCATGTCATGAAGAAGGTTGGTAAAGATAGGTTGTTTTTATTTTAAATAGAAGAACAATATTCCATTGTTTGAGTGAACCATAATTTAGTTTTCCATTGTTCTGCATTTGGGTTTCTTTTTTCTAGTTTTATTTTTAAAATGTTGCAGTGAATATTTGTGTGCATAAATCTTTGACCTTGTTTCTCAATAGCTCCTTGGGAGTATTACAGTAACTATATTTCTTGAGTGCTTACCATGTACCTGTGCTGCACTGAATTCTCCTAACAGTGCCAAAGGGTAGATAGTTTCATTCCCATTTCACAGATGATAAAGTTCTTCCCATCTGTGGAACAAAACCAAAGCACAAATCAGTTGAATAACAGGCTCACATGTCCCAAGCCATGATAGTGGGGTCCACATTTTTTTCTCACTGTTTAATTCTGTTTATTTTTAAATTTTTATTTATTTATTTTTGTCTCCTTCTCCTATTTCTCCCCTCTACCCAACCCTTCACCTGTGGTAATCATCAGTCACTTCTCAGTGTCTGTGAGTCTACTGCTGTTATCTTTAGTTTGTTTTGTTTTTAGATCCCACATGTAAGTGAAATCATATGGTATTTGTCTTTCTCTGCCTGACTTATTTCACTGACCATTATACCCTCTAGGCTCATCCATGTTACCAAAAATGGCAGAATTTCTTTCTTTTTTACAGTTGAATAGTATTCCATTGTATGTATGTACTACTTCTTTATCCATTCATCTGTTGATGGGCACTTTGGTTGCTTTCATATCCTGGCTACTGTAAATAATACAGCAATAAACATAGCGGTGCATTGTGGGGCCTAAATTTAACCTGTTCAGTCTGACTGCAAAGTCTATGCTCTCAATCGTTAACTTTTTAAGGCTCTTTATACATATTGCCAAACGACTTTCCAGAAAGGTTATTCCAATTGCCATTCCACCAGCTGTTTAGGAATGTCCATCACTCTTAATTCTCCTTTAAGTTATTGCTAGGCATTCGCATTGCACTTTCTGTGAGCTGTTGCTTTATGCAGTTTGCCCACCTAGCAGTGAAGGTCACCATGGACCACTGATTAGTCCAGCTGAATTTCCAAGTGGCAGGCAAAGTGGTAATGCTTCCCACAGAATTGGTCCACATCTACCCCATTCTGGTGTGTGAATGACCTGAACAAATGCAAACACTATAAAATAATGCTGTTCTGCTGGGAAACACAGAGCCCTGTAGGCCTGCCTATTTGTGCAGCATCTAGAGGGACCTTCATCAGGGCGCCTGTGTGCAGGCCCTATGTAAGGTGCATGTTCAGAAACTAATTATAGGAGATGTGCTTTCTTCTTTGTCCTTGAGCTGCTTATTCAGGTATACCAATATAATTCCAAAAAAAAAAAACCAAGAATTTGTTATGATTTAAGTAGAAAGGTAATACAATAAAGAAAATTCATTGCTTTTCTTTAACATGCCAATATCATAAACATTCTGCAGTTAGATTATGGGTGGTGTTTTGGACATGAACAATCCCCTTTTGGGAGACTGAGGACCTCTCATGGAAGCATCTGAAATGTATTTTCCTAACAGTCTGATGCCTGGTTTCTCCCATGGTAAATGATGCCTTCCACAGTGGAATGGAACTTCAACTGCTCACCTGCTCAGCAGCATGCTTCTCTGGAGTCCCTTAGATAATGACAAGAGCTACCACTCATAAGCTCCCACTGTGTGCTTTTTACACATGCCATGGTTTATCTGCACAAAAACCATGCAAGGTAGGTAGGATCTGCTCCAGTCTTGAGATGGGGAACGGGTCACAGGGTTAGTTAGTGAGAGAGCTGGGATCTGCAAACCCAAGCCTGTGCCCTTTGGCTGCGCCCCCACGTGGAATGCTTGTGGAATGGACCCCTTCACTGTGAAGGACATCCTCCCTCTTTCACCAACTGGCTGGGCTGCATCCAAGGGAGAAATATGATGAATCAGAGGAAATTTGAAGAGTTTTAAATAATGTCTTTGCATATCACCGTGGGGATGAGGAAGGCTTCCCAGACTGACTGGGTATCTAAATCCATTCTTGCTTGAACTATGTCCTTGGGGAATCAGTAACACAAGCTTATGTGACTGTTCACACAGTCCATGGACACACCGCATGGCCCTTTCTTCTCAGCTTCTCATACAGGTTATAAAAGCCTGAAGGCCCTCCAACATCCTAGCAGGTACTGTGGTAAAATATCACTTTTCCTCCTTCCTCCACGTAGTGTGAGGGGTCCAGAGGCAAAATGGTCCTATTTGAGCTTCTGTGAGGACAGGTCAGGGGCTGCTGGTCCCAAGCCCTGAGCGCAGGGCAGGTCCTTCAGGCCAGAAGAGCAGCCGTGGAGGAGGGGATTATGGCAAGCAGCAGGAGCATCAGCTCGCCCACGCAGGGAGAAGAGGGTGTCCTAGATGGTGGTGCTGGGGGCAAAGGCTCTACTCTAGCAGGTGTGCTGGTGTTGAATGCTGTGCATCTCTTTTTAAAGTACTTGATGTATTATGGTGAAAATATTACCATAACTTTATTAGCTTGAGAGCTCCAGGAATGGGTCACATCCTGTTCTTGGTGTTTATAGAGCCTAACCCAGACCACACACGGGATCGGCATTTAGCAAATACTGGGATGACGACTGAGTAAGTCACATTTTATAAGCTGCTATATGTGGTTGTATATTACTCACTGAGTTTATTTCTTCATGAAATATCCCTGAACTTCTAGTCAAGTCTTATTTAAATGTTGTATCTGGTTTGGTCTCAGGAGTCCTGGAAAAATTAAGGAAGGAAATTAAGATATCTCTGCCAAATTGTCTAGGGGAAAACAATGAGTCCCCTGTCCTCCCCATCTCTCCCTCTCCTTTTCTCAGGCCAACAGAAATGATCACAAGTACCCCTGGGGAAGGTGACCCTCAGGGTAAAGAGAAGCTTTGAGGACCACCTCTTTCTTGGATGTTCTCCATTTCTAGTCTTGGTCGAATCTAACTTTCATTTGATTGAGGAAAGCAGCAGTTTTCTCACCAGCACTCTGCCCGTATTTTAGATCTACTAGTCTAGTGAGTGTTCTAGCAGCAGGCAGCAGCGGGCATTTTTATGGAACATGCACTGAAATAATCTGATCTGAACTAGAGCTGACATTGAAGTTTCTTACGGTCCTGTCTACCTGGCAGGTCTAGTGCAAACTACAAAAACCCAGAACCTAAAATATCCTGGCCTTTGTTATGTGCACCTTCTATAGTTTGCATTTTTCTAATAATAGCTACCTACTTAATATACTCTGCTAGTTACATAAGTTACATTATTGTTAATCCTGACAACTCTTCAGGGTAAAATAGTGCTAAGCCTACCTTTAGAGATGAGGCAACAAACACAAAAAGCTTGTAATTTTCCAAGCTGGGACTCCAAAAGGTCACAAGCATACCTAAGCTGGCAATGGACCCCCTTGTTATCTCCACGCATCAGATGGCTACTGTTATGAGTGATAGCTACTTCATCTCTAAGCTAATTTTCACACTTCTTTGTTTGCTGAATTATTTTTTTTAAGGGTCAGGGATTTCTTGGAGGTTCTTTTTCTTTCTTTTTTAAATTGACTCTGTATGTGTCAGTCAAAACAGTTGGTGCATACGAAAAAGGTTTTAGAATGGGAGCTTGGAAGGAGTAATAGGAAAATAAATGGAAAAACAAAGCCTTGGCCGGCCAAGAATTACATTTCCAGTCCTCCATACCTGCTATCCACTAGGAATCTACAAGCAGAACTTTCTCATCCTAGGGTATCCTCCTCTTTCCTCATTGCCTAGGTTGGTTTAAATCCTGACTACAGCTCAAGCCTTCCCCCTCAGGCCTCACCTCAGAGTAAAGCTTCCTTCATATTCTGGTAACATTTACAGTCCCTGTCTGATTGCTCCTTTGATCACTTAATCAGTCTGCCTTGCATTTTTATTTAAAAGTGCCCTAAGCTTTAGTTTTCCATGGTTTTCACTCTAAAGTACACCAGGGCTAAAGCCAAAATATGTCTTTTGACCACTTTTGTAGCAAGACAGTGCTATAAGTTGCTCAGTAATATTCAATCAATGAATAAATAGGTGAGAAATCAATGAAATTGGAATAGTAGATTAGGATGGTTCTTGTAAGAATCGACATGTTTAAGAAGTACTTTAAAGTTTATGAAATGTTTCTCGTGCAGTCTCATTTGTATCTCAGAATAACCCACAAAGGAAACTGGCCTGAAGGTTAAAAGATTTGCTCTTGTAACCCAGATTCTTTTCCTCCAAGACTTGTACTACTTCATTATGGGTGACTCTGAAATACAAAGTAAGATTAAATCTGGAGACAGATCCCCACTCATGAAACATCCTCACCAGCAGAGGGCATAAGAACATGCATGGGTCTTGGGCTAAGGTTTGTATGCCTGCCTAGCCACTTTAAGACCTAGGTGACCTTGGGCAAATAATTTTTTCTGAGCCTAATTTTTCTGCACTGTTGATGACAATGCACTGCCTGCCCCCTTGCAGAGGGCTAAAGATTATAAATATTCTGTGGCTGGGAAACAGTAGGTGAACAGTAAATTGGATCTCTCATGATCTCCATTAAGAGGATCATAGGAGCATAGTGGAGGTTAGATACTGATTCTTCTTAGATGCTTTAATAAGCATTTGAAATCAGTTTGCCTATTTGACACTGAAAATAGGCAAATAGTTATATATAACAAATGAGCAAAGAAATGAATATTGATGAAAAAAATTTAATAGCCAGTGCTGGCAAGCATGTGAGGAACTTTCTGCAATGGGAAGCCTTAAAAACATGATATGCCATTTGCCCCAGCTTAACTTCAGAAGGTAGTATTGGATGGTGGCCAGATTTAAGGATATCATCACCACTCTCTCTGTAAAAGCAGGAGCAGAGACAATGTAAATGTTCAATGTAGGGCACAGGCTTAATAATTATATTCTCTCCACCAAACTGAACACTATGCAGTCATGAAAATGATGCTATAGACTATTGTAGGCGAAAAGATGATTGCAACATGGCTAGCAAAACTCACAATATTTAAACAGCCTGCTTTAGCTTTTGTTTAAAAATACACTGGGAGCAGAAATAAAAAACCTAACAGTTAGGTTTTTTATTTCCGAAGGAGATGACAAATGCTTTTTAAATTCTTCTCTTTGCTTATCTTCTCTGTTGGGCAAGCAGCACTGATCAGTTTTATAATAAAAAAATAGTTCTTCCTTTAACAAGAACTGTCATTTATTTAACACTGTCTGCCAGCACAACAGAGCCAGTGGTCATGTAAATTAAGTTAATTGTAATAAAGTGGCTTGAAAGTCTCAAGGTAGTTAGTTAAACAAAATAATTAAGATCCTAATGAAATTTCACAGAGCTGGTCACCAAGCTTCCACTTAACTGCTGTAGGGCTGCTATAAATAGAAGCCAGGCTCCACTTTTTCAAAAGGCCTAAAAAACGACATAAAATAAAATATGAGCAATTGTTCATGTAAGGGCCATTTGCCATGTTTGTCCTAAGCAAATGTAACCTGAAACTCACCGGTATCTCATACTCCAGGTTGGCCGCACCTCTCAGGATAGCGTGTGTTTGCTCTCCATTACTCAATTTACGTTCCTGAACTTGAAATGGAGTGGAATTTCAAAGTAGAGTTACCCCTTGGCTCCAGGGCTGAATTTAAACCTTTAGTTAAACTAATCCCTTGATCTTAAACACGTTGCTTCTCCCTCAGAAAAGTGTGTATAGAGTTTTCTTAGATGTCACCGGGCTTAATTCGGTGTGGCAATTGTTTCTTCCTGCATTTGGTAAGTGACCCAAACCGCACAGGAAAACCGGCACACGTTTTCAGATCGCTCCTGGTTCTCCCCTCTTTCCCCAGCCAGGACAGGCATTTGTTGCTGGGCGGGCTTGGGTGCAGCGTTCTATGACTCCTGCCAGATCCGGACTTGCAGCTCTGGAAGAGTTAGTAAGTCCTCGGGCAGGAGCCCATCCTTGTAGAAGCCAGGGTAGGTGTCAAATGGATGTTTATGAAATGAGTGACAGTAAGTAACTGTCCGTACTGTTCCCAATTTATATGGAAGAAGAGATCATAATCCACAAAAATTGGCAAGGTGACAAGGAGGAAAGGGTGTGAGACCATTTTAGCTTACCTGGATCGTCGTAAGAAACGGAGCACATTTTAGAGGCCAGAGTAATGTTGGCCTTGGCTAAGAAAGAGATGGAAAGGGTCAGCACCAATCAAATGCGGATGTGTAAATTAGCCTGGCCACGTTGAAGGTGTTCCCCTGCCTGGGCACTTCTGCACTCCGGGGCTTGCATTTATCTCACGGGCTGCAACCTCAGCCGGTGAATGAATGAGACATAACCTCAGTGGTGGTTCACAGCTTTCAGGTGGGATTGTCCACATAACGGGTAGTGAATCTGCCCATATAACTATTAATTAGGACGTATTTCTTGAGGCCGAGGGAAGCGCGGGGTCCGGTTAATAAGTTAATAGGCTCTTAAGTAACTGAGTCGCTCCAAGTAACTGTCCTGCAGACCCACAAGTCTCCCGGGTACACCTCCTCACGCCGTGACTCACGGGGTTCTGCTCGCACTCCCAGTTCCCAGACCGAGCGCGGCGGGGAAACACGCTTGCCTCCCTTTGCTGGCTCCCGCGCGCCCGGGGAGCCACCAAGGGTCCCGCAGGAAGCTCGGACGACCTGGACAGCCCGGCAGGCCCTCCGCCTCGCCACTCGCTCGGCCTTCCTCCTCCGGGGCCCATCGTCCCCCGCCGCCTGCCTCCGCGGGAGGCTTTGTTTTCCTCCCAGGTTTCATTCCCCACACGTGATACTGTGTTATTGCGAAGAGCGCCACGGAGCGCGAGCGCGGGGCGCGCGCACCTATAAATACGGGGCCCGGGCGCGGGAGCCGGAGACCGCAGCTGCGGGGAGGGCCCGGGGCCGCACTGCCCGGCCGCCAGCCCGCCAGCCGCGCGCCCGAGCACCGAGGGGCCAGCATGGCCCGCCCGCAGGGGGGCCGGACCGCCGCGCACGCCGCCCGCGCCCCTCGCCCTGCCCAGCCCGGGTCACCGGCGCTCGCGCCCGCCGCTTAGCACTCGGGCGCCGCTGGAAACATCGCCGCAGACGGACACAATGGCGGCAGCGGCCGCCACCGCCGGCTCTGCCGCTTGCAGCAGCAGCTGCGCCGGCACCGACGCCGCGGGCCCCGCAGGATTGCAGCAGCCGCAGCCCCCGCCCGCCGCCTCGCCGGCCCCGCCGCCGCCCGAGCCCCCCAGGAAGTCTCGCATGGACCCGCGGCGCCGCCAGGCTGCCCTCTCCTTCCTCACCAACATCTCGCTGGACGGACGGCCGCCGCTGCCGGACGAGGAGTGCGGCGGCGGCGAGGAGAGCGGCGCGGCCAAGCCCGGCGCCAGCAGCGCCTGCGGCGCGAGGACTCGGCTCAGCCTGCTCGCCGCCGCCGAGCGGAGCGGCTGCAACGCGCTCGCCGCGGCGGGCACGGCGGCGTCAGTCGCCGGATCGGGCCCCTACTTCCCGCATCCGTCGCCGCTGCTGCCCATGGCCCCCGGCGGCCACGCGACGGTGCCGGGTCCCGCGGCGGCCCGGGGCTTCGCGAGCCCCCTGGGCGCGGGCCGGGCGTCGGGGGAGCAGCTGCAGCCGCCCCGGGCGGCGCCTACCGCCGCCTGCGCTCAGCCGCAGCTGCCTGACGGGCGCGGGGGCGCTGGGCTGGAAGAGCTGGAGGAGGACGATGCCTTTAGCGGTGTGCAGGTGCCGGCGGCCGCCTTCTTAGGCTCCGGGGCCCCCGGGAGTGGGAGTGGCAGTCGGGGCCGCCTCAACTCGTTCACTCAGGGAATCCTGCCCATCGCCTTCTCCAGGCAGACCTCGCAGAACTACTGCTCCCTGGAGCAGCCGGGCCAGGGGGGCAGCACCAGCGCCTTGGAGCAGCTGCAGCGGTCCCGGTGAGTATCCCCTCGCGACGTGCGCCTCACCTGGCGTCCCTCCAGCTGGCCTCTGTTGCGGGACGCCGGCGCCCCCACTGCCCGCGCCCTGCCGTTTCCCGCGGCTTGGGGAGCGAATTCCAAAGCCCAGGGGCACGCGAAATAGGAGGGTCCCCGATGAGGAGTGTGTTTTCACAACACGTGTGTGTGGGTGCCCGGCTCTCGCAGAGCAGAAGCGTCACGCTGCTGCAGTGGGCGCTGAGTTAAGAGTTGTGGGAGCGCATTGGAAAGCGGCTCCAAAACCTCCCATGGCGAGGAGCTCACAAACTTCCAAACCTGGGCCAGACCCGGAGACGCGCTGTCCCCTCGCCAAGCGAGACTTCTTGGGGCGCAGAGTCAAACAGTGGGTGCCGCCGGCTGCCGAGCGGCACGTGTGAGACGTTTGAGCCCGAATTCTTCGCAGACATGTGGTGGATCCCTTCTGAGAAGTTCCTGCCTGAGTTCAGAGTATTCCTGTGTTCCAGTAAAACTTGGCATTTTCCTAAGAAATGGAAAGCCCTTACATTCCCTTGAACCGAGCCTTGTGGGAGGGGGACAGGGAGGAAATAGGATTTGAGGATTCTATTTTTTACCATTCCCAGATCAATTTCCTAGAGTTGTGTAAAAACTTGTCTTGGCTAGCTTAAGTCATCTGCAGGTATTGGGCATTTTGGCAAAAACCTGAAATGCTGGACCTCTGCTTCTTCAGGAAATAGCTGGAGCTTGTCACCACAGGTGCAGGGGACAGTTGCCAGTTAGGTCTATGTGGGACAACCGGCCTAGAAGTTGGGAGAGAAATGGAGTGAGGAACCGGGGAAAGTGCAGGCCAGTTCGGGGAGGGAGCACCCTCCCTTGTTAATAAGGCCTCCTGTGAAGTTAGTTATAGGGTAGGCTTCACCTTGGCTCAGTTATTTTAACGTCCTGGGGCCTCAGCTTCCCCTCTGAGATTGGACCTTGTCAACATTTCACAGGCCTCAAGATGAGAAAGGAAAACATTTTCTGTTAGAGCTTCTCTGCTGTAATGCTCATCTAAAGCTCAGACTGTTCCCGACTTAAGTAAGGTGGCCTATTGGGAAAACTTAATTTCCTCCCCTAATGGACAAATGGGGAAGAATGAGCCGGGCTCATCCAGAAGTTTGTTCTGAGTCTCTTTACACAAGTGTGTGAAATCATGACGGTGGTCAGCATGTAGCCCTGAAGTGTGAGTGCACACAGGCTGCTGGCAGGGGCATGGAGCTGGGCAGTAACCTGGTGATTGCACGGGTGTGTTAGCAACAATGGTCCTGACATTTCTCGTCAGCACACATCTCCCATTAATGGGTGAGCACACGGAGGGGAATCCCTTCCTCTCTGGGCGTGGTGCATACTCTGCAATCTCTGGGCAGCTTCGTGTTACTGCTTTATATCGCATACTGGCTCAAAGACTCTGTAGTTTGAATGAGCGCTCAGCTGGTCCAGAGGCCCATGACAGGAATTGTAATAAACATACAGTTATTCCAAGCCAGTATGCAAGGCTGGCCTGTATCTCGTAGTAGACAGATGGGTCCCTGTGTGAAAAGCAGTTGGAGGTTGTATTACCACACTTTGTGTCCAAGAATCTCATTTCAGAGGGTCTAGAAGATCTTGAGTGTGAGTATTTCTGACCCGGAGATTAGCCAGAATTTTATCTCTACTCCAATAAATATGAACCCCTTAGATGTTTTATTGACCTCCCCTATTGTTTAATGTGAATAACACATTATGATCAGTTAGTCAATATAAGATGCTTCTTGGCCTGACAGTCATGTTCGTCTTACTACTTCAGAATTATCTGTATCTGGCAGCTTGTTAGCTTTTCTCCCCCTTTTTTCCATTAGCTGTCAACAGAAACAGCATTGAATTTAATGTACAGGAGGTAAAAGGGTAAAACAGGAATTTTAGAAAGGTCTTGAAAAGCTGGCTTGGCCACTAGCTGTTGGAGTGGCCATGAACTTGAAATACCCTAGGATGCTTTGTTTCCTCTGCCCAAGAATCTTGTCTGAGGCATGCTGCTCTTAGATCCCTAAAAAGTACTGTTGCCTGCCAGGACAAACTCCTCTGCATATGGCCCTGCCGCCGGGGAGAAGGGCATTTGCTTTCCTGGTGTGCCTCCCTTTAAGGAACCCTGATAGACTGGGTGGTTCCATATACTACTTCACGGATTTTCTTCTGGGATATTGTAATTATATATCAAATTATACTTTTCTCAGATGTGTCTCTTGCTATTTAAGGAATTTCATAGCACCTTGCTGCTCAAAGGTGTGGGCTCTTGGATCTCCAGCTTCACAAGAGCCCTTAGAAATGCAAACTCTTGGGCACCCCCTGGATTACTCCAGGGCAAATCTGTGTTTTAACAAGATCTGCAGATGATTCATATACAAATGGAAGTTTGGAAAGCACTGCCAAATTGATCTGAAATTTGCCCTTTTTTAGTGAACTTGAGATTTTCATGTAAGGCTGTGTTATAGGTATATAAAAAGTAGAATTTCCCAATCTGAAATCATGACACAATTAACTTTTTTGTTACTTTTGTCTGGACACTTATAAAACCAATCACAATTATTGGTTGGACTTCCAAACTTTGAAATAGGACAGGGAGGAAAATTTCTGTGCCCAAACGCTGGCACAGATGTGCTGATGGACTTATGATGCCGGTCTCTGTGCTTTGGGCTGGATATTTGACATCACAGTGAGCCCTTCCAGCCGCACTATGTGTAGGGTCTTTCACAGACCCAGTGTTGGCCAGGATGGGAACCCAGATCTTTGACCTCCAAGCCTGGTGTCTTTCCCTCTGCCACTTGGCCGGATCATGGTGCTTTGCATGCAGTAGGCCCAAGGGTAATTTTGGAGCTGTTGGCTGGAGATGTTTGCCTGGATATAGCAGGCTGGTCACACTGGTGTGATTCTATGCTCCCTTTCCTAGCCATTCCCCCTCTTTGTTGGGGCCCCAGCTTTACTGCTACCTACTAGCCTCCATTGGTGCATCTAGGGGGCCCGGAACCGTGACCTAGGCATCTCTCAGCTGGTGGGCAGGGCTCCGGCCCTGGGAAGCCAACACGCTGGACTTTCCTCTCACTGGGCTTTGCTCTCAGACTAGGTGTCAGAGGTGGGAAGCCAAAACGGTGCTTTCTGGCTTGAAACCCTGTGTGTTCTCTGGGTAGTGAACTGCTGCATGAAGAAGGTGTTAGTAGGTGAAAGAGTGAATTTGTAAAGTGTATTTTAAGGTTTCCTTTCACTTTGAAAGTTTCATCTCAGGTAGCAGCTGGCAGTAGTCCTGGGCTCACTTCCTGGAGCTGGATGGCAGACAGAAGCGTATAACGTCAAGCCCAGGCAGACTAATGTGTGCCACCAGGCCTGACAAGAGGCGTACTTGGTGACCAGGGCAGTAATTTATAATGACATGAGGTTTTGGTTCTTAGAATACCAGTGTTAGATGGTGCCTTGTGGAGAGTCAGGTCTTAAAGGAAAGCGGGCATGGGGTGCAGAAGAGCCCCAGGTGTGGGACTCGAATACTGGTGCTGCCGCCTGGCCCCTGGTAAGTTGCTCAGCCTTCCGGGGTCTGTTTACTCAGGAGCACCTAGGCCTGCATCTTGAGCTCCTCAGGTGTTCGTGTGCTGACATCTATCTATTACTGAGGGCTGACTGTGTGCGGGCTTGTAATAAACACTCTAAATCTGGGCTTCTCAAATATAAATGTGCTTATAAATCAAGATCTGGGGATCTTGATAAAGGGCAGATTCTGATCCGGAAGGTCCGGGAGGGCCTGAGTCTGCATTTCTGACGAGCTCCCTGGGAGCAGATGGGCCACCCTGTGGGGAGGAAGGCTTTACTCAGGCTGCTCCTGCTGGAAAGCCCAGGAAACCAGGACTTGGATGTTAAATGACCTGCTCAAGGTCACTCAGCCTTTGGGGCAGAGCTCGGGCTCCCGCCTGCTGGCTTTGGAGCTTCTAACCACCCTTCTGCCTGCTTTGCCCCTCCTAGCGTAGAACCTGGCCTGGTTTATCTATAGTCCTATCTTTCTGGACAGAAAAGCATGAGCCGACTAGGGTTTCCACAACCAGAGTAAGAGGGGGAGATGGACATTTTTTCCTGACGTTGTCACTGCTTTGCTTTGTGACTTCAGGCAAGTCCCCACTCTGTGTTCCAGCTGTGTACCACCTGTGCCCTCTGGATTTTAGCAGTTCTTAAAGGACTTTGATCTCCTCTGCAGTAAGCAAACCCCAGTTACTGTGGAGATATCTTTCCAGCCAGGCCCTGCTAAGGACACTTACCCAAGGCTTGGCGGAGGCCGAGCCCTGCTGGGGGCTGAGGCGGGTGGCAAGGTTCAGCCACTGCCCCCGTCCTTGCACTCAAAGCCTGTAATGCTGTGGGTGAACTCAGAAGGAAAAATAAACGGGAAGCCTGCTCACTGCTGGCACATCCCCAGAGAGGGCAGCAAGTTGAGGGGTGAGCTGTCACCCTCCAGGAAGCAGGGGGAGGGGGTGGGTGCGGCAGCATGGCTGTGCACTGTGTCCCCATAGCTACATGGGAACTCTGCCTGCTGGACTTTATTCCATAGGAAGGAGAGTTGTTAGATGGCAACAGGGCCAAGGGCACAGCCTTTAGAGCACACGGGGAAGGAAGGGTAGGTGAGGCAGGTGAGGTGACAGGAGGTGGATCAGGAAGGCCAAACCTAGACTTGTCAGCCCTGTGCCCTGGGCCTGCCTGCCTCAGCCGGTGACCAGCACAGGCCACTTCAGTTTGGAAGGAAAGACTTAGGATGGATGGGTGCTGCTGCTCTTCCAGGTCTAGTGCTCTCAGCAGCCTGCTGCAGAGACTGGGGCACGTTTAGCTTGGGGACATGTGGGAAGCCAACCTTAGGATCAGATGCGGAAGTGGTGCTGGGTTTGTTTGCGTGGTTCCAGTTGGCAGGATTTGCGCTCCTGGATGGGGGCACGAATGCGTAGTGCCTGTGTAAGAGAACC